GTTTGTAGCAGCAGCTCAGGTGTTTGTAGCAGCAGCTCAGGTGTTTGTAGCAGCAGCTCAGGTGTTTGTAGCAGCATCTCTGATGTTTGTAGCAGCTTGGCAGGCTCCTTTGGTTTCCTGCCCTGCTCATCGCTCTGATGTGGGGGTGTCAGCCTTGCTGGTTGAGGCGTGCCATGGAGTGTTGTAGACAATGTTCCTTCTAATTTTTCACGTGTCTGGCGTCTTTCTACCCAGTTAAGTTACCATCAGTTATGGCTAAAACCCCACTGCAGCCTCTCCTCTAAGGGGTATATCAGACTAATCTAGCACTGGAGTATTACCCAGAGTGACCTTAGGTTAGTTCTGTTTAAGGCTGTGTTGAAGGTGACTCACCCAGATTAACAACCTTCATTTGCAATTCACACCCTTATCTCACCCCATGACTCGCCCAACCTAGCAGCCGGGGTTGGATTGTTGCCCATGGGAAAACATGCATTCACGGCCGCTCACCCTCAGTTGTACAACTGTAATTGTTACCGATCTGGTACTTTTTACCATACCATACCATTTTATTTATAGAGCACTTAAAACAGCGACAAGGCCAACCAAAGTGCTGTACAGACAGAACAACAGGTAACACACAAAGCAATATACAACATGAAGTAAATCAGAATATAGACATAAAAACAATGCAAATAATGATGACAAACCAGTGTGGAGCATACAAGTTCAAAACACAGATCCTCTGGTGTTGAAAGCTACCGAATAGTGAGTTTTTAAACGGGACTTGAAAACCGAGAGGGAGGGGGCCTGTCTGACAAGCAGAGGTAACTCGTTCCAGAGTCTTGGTCCTGCTACAGAGAAGGCCCTGTCACCGCTGCATTTAAGATGAGTTCCTGGAACTGTGAGGAGCAACTGGTCCACTGACCTCAGGGAACGTGGTGGGACATACAGTTGGAGTAGATCAGAGAGATGGGGAGGGGGGGTAGACAATGTTCAGCGATTTGTAGACATACATGAGTATTTTGAACTGGATTCGAAAGTGAACAGGTAACCAGTGCAATGAGGCCAAAACTGGTGTAATGTGCTCTCTTTTGCCTGTACTGGTTAAAAATCGGGCTGCTGCATTCTGGACAAGTTTTTTTATTTAAATTTTTTTTTATTTTTAGCCTTTATTTATACAGGTAGTCTCATTGAGCCACGAGAACTCATTTTCAAGAGAGACCTCTTTAGGGAGCACATGGTGGGGGTTAAGGGCCTTGCTCATGGGCCTAGAGTGGGGCGAATGAAGGTGGGGGCAGGTGTGGGTGTTTCACCTACCCCACCCACAATTTTTTTGATGTTGTCGGGGCCGGGGCGTGAACCGGCGATCTTCAGATCACAGGCCCACCTCTCTAACCTCTGCGCCACCACTCCCAAGTTGTAGTCGTGCTATGGAGGTCTGACTGATACCAAACAGGAGCGAATTGTAGTAATCAAGCCTAGATGTAATGAATGCATGTATTACTGTGTCCAGGTTATTTTTGGACAATATGGGCTTCAGTTTAGACAGCCACCTCAGTTGGAAGAAACATGATTTAACAATCATGTTTACATGATTAAGTTTCAGGGAAGGGTCCATTATCACTCCCAGATTAGTGACTCTTTGTTTTTGTGACAGGGTTAGAGCAGAAAGGTCGATGCAGTTTTAGAATCTAGGAATAAGATTCTAGGATGTTGTTTATAATTAAAGCTGAGAAAACCTTTAAAAACCTCCGTCTTTAGTTATAATATTGAACCAAGAGAAGCTGCAAGATGGCGCCTGTGTTTGGCCTCGCCGCTGCTGGTTGTCTCAAAACTGCTGATGACCGTTATTTTTCGGCATTTTTTATCTGTTTACTCCTGTTTTTATTTTGTATTGGGGATGTTAATCCTATGCTGGTCTATGATCGACAAATGCTGCTGTCTATTCGGGGTTCCATGCAGAGGAGCTGCGCCCCACCTTCAGGTACCAGCTCATTCTCACCAGAGAGCGGTTTTCCATCTGGCATTCTCTGCGACCCTCAACTGTGTTCACGCGGATCTCGGAGAAAGAGGAAGAGAGACAAGAGAGCCGGTGTCCAGGTGAAGCTCAGGCTTTTCTGGAAGCGTGGGGTCATTGGCAAACGACTCCATAAAACTCTTCCCACTTGTTGCGCTGGCTTTTGGACCGATGGGGATTTTACAAACACATCCCGACCCGGCTGTGTTCTATCTGGACCTCTGCGCTGCTGCGACCTCCACTCTGTGTATCCAGATGTTTTATGAAATTTCTTTAACAGGGGTCGTGAACGGTCGGCACCGGATATTCACATGAGAGGAAAATGAAACACAAGTAGACTGTCCTGCTAGAATAATAGTGTCATTTTATTAATCTGCCACAGAAAAACAGCCAAGCAAAAACATGTACACTCGTACACTCTTAACACACAAATTGATATGGAAGCCTCTCACCGTGACACTTTGATCGGGAAGCCTTCGACCCGATGACAGGAAATCACATCAAAACTGAGCTGGGCACCTCGCGCGTGGTCCGCAGCAGGCTTCTGACTTCCCTTGCCTGTCACACCTCCTA